AGTATTACTATTACTAGTGCTCGCACTTTGGGAGTTATGCTTGGGTGGTGGTGGTGGTGGTATAACTGCGGGCCGACTATTAGCTCTTAAAAGATTGGCCGCTCCACTGCTCCTTAACTCATCAAACTCCAAATTGTCCCTGTCCTGAAACTCAGTTCTTATACTTTCTACTTTTTCATCTAATTTATTAACATCTTTGCCTACTTTATCAATTCTTTTTGCTACCTCTTCAAAGCCTGCATTTGTCCCATCTTCAATCCCCTTTAAATTATTTTCTAATTGCGTGATGTTCCTATTTGTTGCCCTTAGGTTTCTATTAACTCCATCTTCTAATGATATTAAATCTTCATATACTTTTGAAATATCACCTATTTTTGCTTGACTACTTAGAATCTTGCCCTCAAATAATTTTTTATCCACTACATTTATATCCACATTTTCCATTTTAATTTTTAATATTTATAAGTTATTTATTTTATTTTTTATAAATTTGTTATTTATAAGTTATTTCTTATGTTTGTTTACTTTATTATATTTTAATTTTATTTCAAGACTTGTTATATATTTTTTTTTAAACTTTTAACTACCTTTTCCAATTTCTTTCTTGCCTAAGCACCAGTCTTTCTTGCCGAAGCAGATAAGTAATTTGACCAAAACAACTAATTCAACCAGAAAAATTCCAATAATATAACCAAGCCTTAATATCACATTGTTATTAAATTATTTTATAAAAAAAAATTTTTTTTTTGTTTTGAATTTATACTACATTAGAGTGTTACCTATTATTATTTTTAAAACAAAGGAAATAATGAAGGAAAAAATAAAATCGAAAATCACTAGCTTTAATAAATTTATTGTGAGAGTGGGGAAGAATATAATTTAATTGAATGATTCTTAGTTGCTGAAATAACTGTGAGCATACTTAATAATTATGTTCTATAATTTATCTAAAACACTTCATGAAACCGATTTAGAAAAATGAAAATTTAGAAGAGAGAAAAAATTTCGTGAAATAAATTATTAGAGCTACTACATAAATTTTCATTTTTGAACAAAAGAATATTTTACATAAGCCTAGATAAATAAGGAGATTAAATAATATTTATTGGAATATTTTGAAAATAATTCAGAATAATAGAAATTATCCAAATACATATTTTAAATTTCTCTCCCCTTTCATTTTAGAATGTCGGGAGTTATGAAAAATATTTAACTTTTAAGAATATTAATGCCAAAGCAATTCAAACATTGAAAAAAAAATCTAAAAAAAATTTTTCAAAAATTCCAACGCTCTAATAATGCTTTAAAAGAAAAAGGAGAGAGGAAAAGGAGATATAATTAACAAAATGATTTATTTATGTCGTTTTTTTAATTAAGCTTATTAATAATTACACAATAAGAAATTATACGAATCAGAATTCTAAAACCAATTTACCAAAAATAACTAGGTTATAAAGTTCCAAATAAACTTTATAATGTCTGAGAATATAACTTAAACCTATGAATATAACCTTATTTGTATAATAATTGGTAAATTTTGGATTTGAGTAGTACAAAAATACACCCAGACAAAATATGTATAAGTTAATAGAATATAAAATTTATATAATAGATAAGTAGAATATATAATTTTGAGCTATAAAATCAAACTATAATATTTGTGAAAAATCAGGAATTGTCATAATTTTTCTATTAAATTTATTCAAAAATTAAAAAGGAATTCTTAATTGCCAAAGCACATATAGTTTCTATTCACTTCCATATACTGTAAAGAGATAGAAGAAAAGAGATTGTAGTAGATTCAGAAAGAGAAATATTTATCAGGAGATAATATGAGCGAATAGGAATGAAAGACAGTCAAACGTAAATAAGATTGAATAATATTAGAGTATTTTAAAAATACTTTAGAATATAAATAATACATTAGCTAATATAATACATTAAATAATACATTAGAATTATACCACAAATAATATATCCAACCCCTAAAAGAGTTTAAAATTTCATGTTGTATTCAAGAGGAAAGGAAGAGAAGGAAGTTAAAAAATTTTGAGTAATAAATAATGTAACCCAAAAAGAAAGTAAAAAAATATATATAATTATATAATATTTCGTTGTATAATTAGTTTAATAAGTAACACTAATAAAGAACATCCAAATAAATGTTCTAAAAAATTCCCTTATTATATTGTTAATTTTTAAGCGTGTTTAATTAAATTGAAGAAGAAAATAAATTTTTGCTTAACCTCATAATTTCTACCAAGTAAAGAAAATTTCTTAAAAAAAATTTTAAAGTAAAGAAAATTTATTTAAAAAAAAATTTCTTAAAACTCAGAAATTTTCTCTTCTAGTATCTTTGAAAAAGGAGAAAATAAGAAATTATTAGAGTGAAAAACAGTATTCTAGAATAGGAGAAAGAGAGAGAAGAAAGAAGAAAAATTAAATTATTTTTACAATATTTATTTGTTGAATTTTCAAAACTAATTAATGATAATAGAAGTTACACCAATAAATATTTGAAATCATTATCAAAATAAATTTACTTATAAAACTCCCCAAGAGAGTGTTCTGTATTTTCAATCACAAACTCTATAATTTTATTTAAAATCTTTGAAAAATTGACCTAAATATAATGCTGTATAATTAGGCATATTCAGTATATGAGAGTATTTATTTTAGAAAACCAGAATTATTTTAATTTCCCACTATTTTTATTATCTAGGATGCCGATCCAGCGTAAGATTGTTTTAGTTTTTCCAACAACTCATTCTTATTTGCCTAAGCATTCATAGTTTCCCTTTGGAAGTTTACTCTCATATACTGTAATAATGAAGGGAGGGAAGGAGAGATAATGAAGGAGGGAAGAGAGATTTAAAGAGAGAATATTTGATTGGCTGAGCTAATTTTATTCTGAAATATTATTAACCAAAACAATTTAAACAAATAGAATACAGTTAAATTTGATATTTTTTTTAAGGAAATGGAACCGGGAATTAGATCTTAACTGCTTATTTTTAGTGTCTAAATTTCAGTCATTAAAAATATTTCTTTGAAATTTCTAAATTTCTATTTACAGAATAAAACTAAACTCTTGAAAGTGGTAGAATTAAAAAATATTAACAAAATAGAGGAAAAAGAAGAAATCTAGAGAGATATTTTTAAAAAAATACTGTAACTCCTAAAAATTGAATCTAATTTTTATATCTAAATTTAGTTGACAAACTAAAGTGACAACTAAAATTCATCCTAAAATTGTTCTTGCCTAGGCAATTCGGGTATTTTAGACAGAATTAGATAAAAATATTATTCACTCCAAAATCTTAAAAGTTTAGAAGAAAATTTTCAATCATAACTAGAAAATTTAAAGGAGAGGAATAAAAATAAAAAAAAATTTCTAAACGTTTGAGAGAATTTTAATTTTCATGTTTTCCGAAAAATCAAGACCCTGAAATTCATTTTCCAAATCTAAAATTAAAAATTACAAAAATCGGTTTAGACTGACTGGGCAATTCAGATAATTTGTACATAAATAATATTGAAAAATAAAAATATTCGACATTCATTTCCAAATCTTTTAAAAATGAAGGAAAAATCTAAACCTAAATGAATGAAACAAGAAATTATAGAAACAAATTAAAAATAAATTTGCATGAAATTGAATAAAATGAATTAAATTTTTACTCCGACTGGCACATATTTTCCAAAATTTTATATTAAAATTTCAAAACATAGGTTTCAAGCTTGCCTGGACAATTCGGAAATTTTAGATAAAAATAAAAATATTGCCCATTTTTTAAATTTTCTAAAACTTAGAAGACAAATTTTAATTTATAAATCTCCAAAGTAAAAATTTTGACAGTGAAATTACGGTACTTGTGGATTATCCCTACGGAACTTTTGCGGATTAAATTTTTAAGATGCCCAAAAATAGCAGTAACATTTATTTTTAAAGTTTCAGAATAGAATTTTTAAAATAATTTTTTAACCTTGCCTAGGCAATCTCGAACCATTTAAATTAAAAATGTAAATATGATAATTTAAGGACTCAATAGAAATCAAAACATTAAATTTATAATGTAAAGTGATAAGAATAAACTTAAGTTGAATAAATGAGCTGGAAAAGAAGATTTAGACATAACTATCAGATAATCAGATTAGAATAGGATTAAAATAGAATTAATTAGAATTTGTAAAACGATGTAGATAAAATTCTAATTTAATATTTAAAATTATTATTTTTATTTTTGAAAAAGATTATATAACTAAAAAACTTATATTAATAAAGTTAAACTTAAATTTTAGAATAAGATTCATATTTTACATTTTTAAAATTTTTATTTTACCTCCTCAATACAGTCTTTATTGCCGAAGCACAATATTCCAATTAAATATTCCAAAACCAAGTAGTTTCAAAATTAAATTAGAGTTAATCGAAGATCAGAATTTGCTTGTAAATAATTTAGTTGTAGATAAGATTTCTAAATATTTAATAATATTATAAATGATTAAAATATTTATAAATAATATTTAAAAATAACTCAAATTGGAAATTAAAATAAATAAAAACAGAATAAAAATCAGAATAAAATCAGAATAAAGTTTGAAAAAATCAGAATCTATAGAATAGAATCAGAATTAATATTGAAAAATAATAAATAAAGTTACAACTTATTAAAATAAAATATAAAATTGTTAAAAAAATAATAAATATAGGACAGAATTAATGGCCTGATGAAGAATAAAAATAAATGAATAAATGTGAAGAAGGAAGAAAAATGAATGGCTTGGTTTTTGAGAAAGCCAAGCCTGAAAGGCAAACTATCCTTCTTTTTTCTTCCCCTCTAGAGAAGATAGAAATAGGCCACTCATTGTAACAAAGGCCGTTACATTCAGTTTTGCCTAGGCAATAATAATTTCTTTTTCAATTTTCTTTTTCCTTTTTCTTCACCTCTGGAGAAGAAGGCCATTTAGTTTAACAAAGACCGTTATACTCTGGCCTAGGCCATTGCAATGAATAATTGTGAAGAAGGAAGAAAAATGCCTCCAGTGTAAAGGCTGGGAAATGAAGAGAATAATAATTTTTTTTGTAATAAATAAAAAATAGGAGAGAAAGGAGATAAAATAAATTTTATACAAAAAGGAGGAATGTGCGCAAACAATTATTGCGTTTTGAAACACTTCGGTGATACTGTATTTTTTTAGGTATTTTCATTCAGACTTCCCGAAGGAATGTATATACATAACTATATATTTTTCTCTAGGGCTATATCACTTCTTAGGACAATCTTACTTATTATTATGACTTCGAATTATTAGTTTTATTTTCTTACTTAATTCTCTTCTTTTTCTATTCTAGTCTTATTGGTTTATATTAATTTAATTTAGAGCTAATATTTTACATTATTTGACCGGTAAACTAATTTTTTGGTTGTCCTTTTATTTTACCTAAAGCCCCTTTATTTATTTATATTTAATTATTTATTTTCTCTCGAGAGTCTGTCTTGCCGAAGCAATCACGCGCGCGCGAAGAGTTAGTCCCTCATCAATCTATCTCCAAATTTTTGTCTACCGGCCGCCCAGGCCAATGGAATGTCGCGAAGACGCGCAACCATCCGGTGCTACCAATAACACAGCACGCCTCTTGTGGAACGTGCTGGCATGGGCCATTCCATTTGGGGTATTTGGTGGACTTCAATATAAGAGAAACCTAAATCCTATCGGGAAGCTTAAAGGGTTGATCAAGTCCTCTGGCTTGCCGAGGCACAGATATTAATATACACAGAGATGTAACAGTGTCTTTATTCAAAGGGAAAATACATATAAATAAAACCAACAATAAAATGTATATTTACTAACTCCGATCAAACATAACAATTAACTGAACCAATTACAAAGGAAAATAAAAGGATTAAATATATGAGCAATAAATGGGCGGAAATGTGTTTAATGGGAAAATCATTTAATGGAAATATAAATATCTCTTTGCTCTTTAACCTTCGGGATCATAGTCCTTCCTTACACTATAATAATAAAAATTCTTTCCAGGGGAAAATATGCGGCAATGAAAAGGAAAACAAGCATTTTACTAGCTATCAACTCGTTTTGTGAAGTTTTACATCAAATTGGCCATTTTTTCTTTTTTATTTTTATAATAAAAGGAATTAATTTTGTACCAGCCATAGAAGCATTTAAATATCAATTTATATCAGTCTTTGGTGTATTTGCATCAGTCTTCATGTTTACATCCATAAGTTTTGATAGGGTTCTCGCCGTCGCTTTTCCTATATAGTAATTAATTTTTATTATTTTACAAAATTTTTCGCTGGTTATTTTCATGTCTTAAATCAAATACCTTTCCTAAATGATCACTTCCTCTTCTATTTGATATGAATAGAAGAATTTAGATAGCGGTATGGATTGGATTTCGGTTGGAATACGTATAGGATATTACGATATCTCAAGATTTCGTATGAGATATTTCTGTATCACAACCCGGGAGCTCGAGTTTTAAGAAACAAACAGGATCGTCGGAATCCCAACGTTTCATTATTGGTCACACAGGATTTCCTTGTAGCACCTAATCCTTTTACTGAATTTCGAATTTCTATTTTATAAAATAATTGAAACAACACAATCTTACTAATTTCAGAGTTTTTATCCATTACCAAAAATTTTTAAACCCAATACCTTTTTCTTAAACTGACATATTAACCGAAAGGACTGGATACAACTCTAGGATTTTTACTATTTTTGTATCTTTAATATGTTTATAAGTATACTAAATGATATACTAAATGGCCTCAAATTTGTAAATTTTATACAGTTACAATAGCCTCAGTTTTCGCCTATATATTTCAATACATCTGATAATAGTTATTATTTTTGGAATATTTATTGTTAATTTGGATTATACTTTAATACAAGTATATCCAAATTGGCCTGTAATTAATTACATTGGATCAGTTGTTGGCATTACTACTTCTAATTCATTTAATACAACAATAATTTTGTTACCCTTAATGTTAATTGCAATTATATTACATATTGCTGTTGGTATTCTTGTAAAAATTAAAGGAGGTAAATTGATAGTCAAGTTCTCGGGCATAATTAACACATGAAGAACAATAAATTTTCAAATTTAATAAAGATTTGCAAGATGAAAAGATGCGTAAATTGGTACGTTCGCTTTCTCTCATAGTTTTTGTAAATATTGGTGGCTATTTTATTGTTATGCTATTAGTTATTTTATGGCAACTTTTGGGGGTTTCAGAAATTGATATTTGGTTTATAAAACTTTATTTTGGGATTATAATTAATATATCTGCAGCATCTAATGGTCCTATTCTGTTTTTCAACAGGTTTGGGGATTCAATTTAATTTAAAATATACACATCTTAATTAAAAATATTTTTCAGTTCTGACTTTAGAAAGGCATATGCTAAAGAATTTGGAAGGATTAAACATATATTTAAAAATATGAATTCCCAATAATGATAAAATTTTATTCATTCTATTATTCTTCAATATCAATTTCATAATCTATTCGACTTTATTGCTTTTTACTGCTTGAATATGATAAAGTATCATGAGATGTTGCTTAAAATTTTTGAAAGATTTTTCTCGTTCAGAAAAAGAACACAATCATTTATTTAGAAATAGCACTTCTATTCCAAATTAGCAAATATCTTTTTTGTTAAATTAGTGCTAAAATCAAAGCTTTGACTACTAGCTTCCTTATTATAAAAAATTTTTCAAGAGAAAGTTTGCCTTTATAAACATTAGCTTAACAGATTTATTACAAAAAAATAAAACTTAATAATTAAAATATGGTGAACGAAGCACAGGGCAAAGTTATGGTGCGAACTGAAAGTCAAGACTGAACTAATTGCTCAGTTATCCCATCACTTTTAGAAAAATAGGCGTAAAACGATTTAATAATTTTATTTAAATTATTTTTTTGAAATATTAAAATTCAACATCCATTTCCCTTTACTCAATAATATTTAAAATAGTTATTTGTAGATTTTAAATTTTCAAAATTAAAAATTTAAATATTTCAAAGTTAAACATTTTTAAATTAATTATTAAAGTGCATTGCACTTGTATATAAAAATTTTTGTATAAAATTGCTAGACATTTACGCATATAGACGTTTCCTTTAATAAATTCGATTTTGTCTTTTGATGGGCGGCAAAATTCTTTACAAGTGCTAATGCTCTTTTTTGCTTTATCTTGCCGAAAATATTTTTAAATTTAATCTAAAATTAGAGTATATAGATTAAATTTAAAAAATTAATTTAATGTAAGTAAAACTAATATTTGGGCCTTGAATGTGATTGTTTAAATCTTCCATATAATTCTTGATATATATTTTGTAGATTAAATTTCTTTACATTTGTCGGGATTTAAGGGATAGAATAAAATTAAGGACTCAAAAATTATTATTAATAAAATAACAACAAAAATAAATCCCGCCTTAATATCTTTTGATGTCTATAAAATAAAGCACTTTAGATAGGATGAGGATTAATATTGAATTTTCATTTTATTTTTAAAAGAAAAGCGACTTTAATAAATTTTATTTAATAATTTTATTTATAATTCTAAATTAAGATGTTATATTTTGAAATAACTATTTTAACATCTATTTTAATTATATTTTCTGAAAAAATTCTAGCCAACGAGATATGCAAAGAAGCATGCACTCTTGACGGTCATTTAAAGCAGGAATGCAAGGAAAGTAAGAAAATTATATTAAATTTAAAAATGTTTCCAAAAGTCACTAAATAAATAGTTGATAGTTGCTAGAATAGTTGATAGTTACTCGAAATAGTTGATAGTGAAAGGTTATATTTTAAGGTTTGATAGTTGATATTTAATAGATAGTTAATTGATAGTTAATAGATAGTTCCTAGAATAGTTGATATAGACTCGAACAACTTGATTGAATAGTTGATAATTGAAAAGTTGATAGTGTCTATTACCGAATAGATAAACATTGATACTAAATAGAAGATCTTGACAAGATCTGTATAGTAATAAGGGAGTTGTTAAGTATGAGTTATTTTTAATTAAAGTAGTATGTCTTTGTAATGATTTAGAATTTGGCTTATGGAAGGTACCCGGCCGAAGGACAACTCCCTCCTCTAGTATTTAATAAATCAAAAATTAACAAATACATATGTATTATTTTTTTTACTTGTTTAAAAATTCTGCGATTTTCTCCGTTTAGTATATAGCGACAATAAACAATTAGCTCTACATTATTCAAATGTGGTGTATGCCGACACCGAGAAGGATTATCTTTTGAATAATTTAGCCGTAGATATATTTATTTGGCATAGACATATGGATGAAATTCTTAATAATAATGTTAGAGATTGGCTTAAGACTGATATAACAAAAAAATTGAGAAAATGGACTGCTGATTTGTGGGACAAATGGCAGGATATATTTGATCAAATATATTGTTTAGTATTAGATAATGATATATTTGGGTTAACGATATTGCATAGAAAATTCTTTATTTTCTATACACGTATGGTTTCATCTATTGAAGAGTTGAAATTAAAAGACGTTGCAAATAAATACAACGATATTATACTCGGAAAGGAATTGTTCTTTATTGATATACAGGTTTAAAATTTATATAATTGCTAAACAGAGGTGGGACGTAACAGTCAGAGTTGTCGGAAATCGGACGGAAATCGGAACTGGCTCAAAAGTCGGAAATCGGAAATCGGACGGAAATTGAAACTGGCTCAAAAGTCGGAACTCGGAAATCGGAAATAAAATTTTTGTTTTCAAAGCTGAATTAATATTTAAAATTGTAAAGTGGCAAATTTTGGACATTATTGAGTGTGATTTGAGGGATTAAAAGTTCTTTTTGTAACTCAAAAGTCAAATTTGAAGGGATTAAAAAAGATATTGTGGGATTTTGGTGATTAGACGGGATATTAGAGAACTGCCTTCTACTTGGGTAGCTTAGAGTAAAAATTTTAAAAAGCTGGACCCAGGGCCGGTGGTTCTGGAGCCGTGTCATAGGAGATCAATGATTTGGAGAGATATATGGATTAAGTTGGTATCGTAGGATATGCCGAGATTAAGGAATGCCACTTAAGTCAAAATTGAAACTGAACTTTAACTTATTCTCAATTTATTATATCATTTTTATGCTATTTTTAACCTTATCTCGTTGAATAAGACATTTAAACTAAATTTTAAAAGACAGAAGCGAGAGTATTTTTAATTAAAAATAATTTGAAATAATCCAAAATTAATTTGTAGAAATTATGGAATAAAGCAACGAAAAATCTTTTCCGTTACAATGATGATAATATGATAGTAATTGATCATAGAATCTTAATTTCATTTATAGCAAGAAAAGTGTTATTTTTCCTTGAATTAATTGAAAGTGGAGATTTGGATAAAAATTTTAAAACAAAATTTTTCAAAGGTATCTTCGGGGTTTTAAAAAACCTAGTACGGTAGGATTAGGTTAAAAAATCAATAAAATTTCAAAATTTTCCTAAAAATTTCAAGTTTTCAGGGGAATATATTTATTATTTGTTTTAATTAATTTTTTAAGATTATAAAAACAAAAAGTCAAAGTTGATAGATAGATTAGAAAAAATATTTGCTTCAAAAGCACCAATTGATGAATATATAAAAGAGCAAATTCAAAAAGAAAAAGCGGAAAAAAGACAATTGAATTTAAAAATGGGAAAAGGTGTAAATAACAATAAGTGTAAGAATAATTACCTAAATAAAATACTTGATATACATATATGTTTTTGCTTGAAAATCTTTATTAATAATTACATATTAATATATAATTATTAATAATTAATATTAATAATTATTTAATAATATAAGTAATTATTAATAATTATTAATTATTTATTAATAATGATCCTCTCCAATTGAAAGACCCGCTTGAGTATTGAAGGAATAGCATGCTGCTGCCTCTTTGTGCTGGGGGGTTTAGTCGGGCTAAAAAACATTTACAAAAATGAAGAATACTACATATATCGATGAAGTTGACCCAAACGGGAGAAGATGACACAAATATGGGGCATTTTGTTCCGATATGGGAAGTTAAACCGAAAATGGGGTAGCTGAGCCAAAAATGAGGGAAGTTGTACCGAACTCGGGGGAAGTTGATCCGAATATGGGGAAAATGTTCAGAGAGACGGTGTAAGTTATTAAGTTGACCCGAATGGATTTAGAACGATATCAAGAGATTTGGGTCGATTGAAGATATCAGAGGATTTCCAGAAATACCAGAGAATTTGGAGGAATATCGTTGGAACATTTCAGATCTATATTTAAATTTTGAATTTTTATTATTTAGCTGAAATGAAAGAGATTGAAAAGATTTTAAATGAAATAAAATTGTTAGACAAAGGAAAGAAAAATAAATCTATTAAAAATAAAAATTCATCCAAAAATAATAAAAATAAAAAAACTAAAACTGAGCAAATATTTAAAGGCAAAAATAAAATAATTGAAGAAACTGATGAGGAAAATAATAAAAATTTATTTAATGAAGATAAAAAAATAGAAGAAATTAAATATATTTTAAATTTAGAAGGGGTGGCTGAAAAAATAATGAGAGAGAAGAATACTTTTGTTAAAAATGATGAGGAGATGGACGAAGATTGGAAGATAAATTTAAGTAGGAATGAAATGAAAAGGCGAAGAATTAAAGAAAAGGAAGAGGAAAGGAATAAAAATGAAGAAAAACAAAAAATATCAGAGGAAGTGGAGGAAGAGGACGATGATGAAGAAGAATTTAATGTTTTTCCTTTAGATCATTCTTGGAATAACCATTTGAAGTTAGATCATCATAAATATTTTTTTGATGGAAAAAGGGGAAAAAATAAATTAAATTTTGAGGAAAAAGAATTAAGAAGTGATGAAGGGAAGCTAAATGAGGTTTTGAAGGAAAAGGAAATAAAAATTGAAGACAGCAAGCAAAATGTGGTTTTTAATGAAGAGGGAGTAAAAAATGATTTGCAGGACTTTTCTCCATTTTATCCAAAAATTTTTTTGAATACCAAAAAATTAGACGAATTATATATTAAATTAAATAATTCAAATAAGCAAGATAAGGAAATGATACTTGAATTGTTAAATGTTGGAGTTTTTGTTGAAGAAATCAAAAATAGAATTGAATACATTGAAAAAATAAAACTGAAATCTATAACTTCAATTAGTATAGGAAGTGTTGAAGGTAATATATTTTGAAAGATAAAATTCTTGATTAAATATGTATAAAAAGAGTTAAGCAAAGGTTTAGCTACCGGGGAGTGTTCAAACCTACGACCTCATCGTAGTTATTGCTAGGATCTTTCGCTCTCTCAACATATAAAAAGATCTACCACTGAGCTATAGGGCATCGACTATTGCTTTTTCTTTTATCTAGATTTAGATCGTTTAACCCCCGCCGAAGCGTTTTAAATGATATAGGTGAATCATTCTTACAATATTTAAAAGTTTATATCTTGACACTAAAAAATGATACGGGCCTGTGCCGTTTTGCATTGGCATTTAACCTCATAAAAATTTTTTAAGAATATACATATTTAGGAAAATTATCCTAAGTATGACATTCAATTAATATAAGAAAATAAAGGCTCTATTACACAATATACGTCCAATCAACTATTATGCGTCCAATCAACTTTTATACGTCCAATTAAAGTTTATACGTCCAATGAAAATTTATGCGTCCAATAAAAAGTTTATGCGTCCAATGAAAATTTATGCGTCCAATGAAAAGTTTATGCGTCCAATCAAATTTGTACGTCCAAACGCATTTTTATTCATCAGAAACAATCTTAGTACCTTCGGCTACATTATTTGCTATAATTTGGAAAAGTGTATTTATAAGCTGTTCTATCAGCAAGATGGAAAAAACGGACTTTATTAGTTACTAACTCGACCATATCAAACAATCGTATTGACTCATTAACATATTCCCTCTATCATTCTCTCTACAATTTTGACTCATCAACTTCGACCACGCGACCTAGCATTGTGTAACTTGAACTCTTGTTCCCATCCCTGACAGGGTTTCGAAGAAACTTATAATAATCCATGATAGTATTAGTAGATATTATGTTAGTTTCGACCTGAACGGTAGTGAGTTTCTTGATGGGTGGGAGACCAGTAAGGAGTGAGTCGCCGCCAGTAATAAGTGACACACATTAAATTCGTTTCTTAAATTATTTTAAATGAATCTCTGTTAGCTCTAGAGTAAAGAGTTATAATAAATAAAAATTATTTTTATTTTTTTCTGAATTTATTTTTTTACTGGACATATAAAAATTTATTTGGACGCATAAACTTTGATTGGACGTATAAAAATTTGATTGGACGTATAAATTTTCATGGGACGCATAAACTTTTCATTGGACGTATAAATTTTGATTGGACGTATAAAAGTTGATTGGACGCATAATAGTTGATTGGACGTATATTGTGTAATAGAGCCAAAATAAATTATAAAGTGCGTTTTTTTTAGTTCAAATTGATAACAAAGATTATAATGGACTAAATTCATTAGAATCATTTGATAAATTAAAGCAGGAATTTAACAGAATAATAGAAGAAAAATTTATTAGCTTAAATAAAAATGATTTGGAAAATAAATTGCATAATTTGTTAAGAGAATTTGTAATGATTATTGAAGGATGGGTGATGATAAAAAGTGAGAATGAAGGAGATATTAATAATAATGATATGATTCCTGTAAAAAGCATGCTACATATACACAGGTTTCTTCGATCCATGAAAGAAAACCTTAAGAATTACATTTATTTTCTCAAATTAAAAAATATACATTTTTTTCTCTAATAGAACAAAATTATGTTAGTCGGATAGTTGGAAATCTTCGGATATCCGGATTAGGATAAGTTATCATCTGAGTATAAAATCCGGATATCCGTATCCGACAACCTTATTGCTAAGTCCAGTAGATTATCTAACCATCCTTTTTATCCTTCTTTTACTAATAGACCGCAAAGTATTATTAAAAAATCTAAACAATTTAAAAATTAAGATTGGCCGGCTTAATTAATAACCGCGAATTGAATCAAATAAACAATATCTATCAAAAAGATAATTTGGTATTACTACTGGGTAATATTAGTGGCCACGAATTTGAAGTATTTGTACAAAATTATAAATTGAAAATAAAACAAAAACTGCTGACATGTGAGTATATATTTATCGCATTTATTCAAAAAATTATCCAGCATCAAATACATATGCAATAATAATCATCCTAATAGTTACCCACACCGAAAGTCTAAAAATAATTTCCTATAATTTCCTATTTATTTTTAAATAAAATTTTCAAAAAATATAAATTATTCTAGATGAAAATTTTGAAATGGAATTTAAAATCTATGTAGAATTACCATTTATTTTTGATCAGAAAAATAATGCCGAAAATTCTGTAAGTTTATTTTAGAATACTCTAATTACTCGATAAATAACCTCAAATATTTGCTCTCCCTCGAATAATTACTACTTTTATATTAAACTAAGCAAAAAACCAACCCCGCAAAAAACCAACCCCGCGATTCCATAATTGTGCTTGCATATACCCCTGTCTTCGAACAATATCTGGTTTTTACTTCTCATTATTGTGCTTTTTTTGTTTTTATGCTTTAAAATTTTTCTAACATGACTCCAACTTCAACACTTGCTGTTTCAATTTCTCATGGCCCCAACAGTGTCTTCTTCTCCATTCGCTTTTCCACATTCTTTTCCTCCTCTTCCCTCTCTACGGGCTTACTTTTGTGTACGAATGCCAGTTACCTCTCATTTCGCGATTTAATTCACATGTCCGTCTTCCTCTCCCATAGCCTCTTTCGCCTCCACTCGATCCTTCATTATTATATATTTTACACTTGCCAGATGCACAGTTTTCCTCTCTCCATTTTCTGGGTCTTCAAGGATTAAGTTCGATTTCAATTACTTTGTAAAAGCCTTGGAACTTGTGATCAAAATTCCCTACTTTATCTTCTTGTTAAAACGAAATCTCCTACGTTCCTCTCAACAATTTCTGCTATTTTTCATGCGCTCTACGTTCTCTTGCAATTTAATTCTCACTTTTTAATGTACATCCTGTATTTACTCTTTCAGCTCCCTTGTGTATATACGCCGACAAATTAAAACACTCCTTTGTTTTTAAACGTTTCTTTAATCAAATGTGAATAAAATCAAGTGTGAATAGAAATCAAGTGTGTTAGAAATGGGGAGGGGAAGGGGACAGGACCGCTCCTTAAAATAGTTAATGCCGAAGCGTCGAAATTAACAACTTTATTCATTTTTGGATTTTTTTGTTGATTTAATCGTGTTCTGACAATGCGTCAGTGGACAATAACCCTCGTTATATCGAAGGTTATAGAACAAACGTATCCACTGACCATACTCCACTGACGCATTTTCCGGAAGATGATTGAGTAGTCGGGTAAAGGAATAAAGGCAAAGAACTCAATAAAATCGTCTTATTGTGTGATAGCTAATTATAAAATATTTTAAATTCAAGTTTGTCCAAGTAATCAAAGAAAAGTTCCAAAATAACAATAAAACGGATTCATTCAATTCTGCTTTAAATTATTTAAAGTTAATTATTTCTGAATGGGCTAAAAATGTTTATAATTGTATAGACATTGAATTTCTGTTGAGTGGCTCGAAATTATTAAATACAGATATTGTTGAATCTGACGTTGATGGAATTGTTGTTTTAAATAAAAATAAAGACGATGGGTGTAAAATAAATGAATTAAATCAGTTTATTGGTAATGGAAACATTGATGAATGTAAAAATTTTGAAAAAGTTGAAGAATCAGAAATATCACTTTTTTGTTTATTATACAATGTGAATAAATTAAAATTTTTTATAGGCTAGAGACGACTGGGAGTGTCGTACAAGAATCAAGATCTCGATAAATCTCGATTCTCTATAACCGATATTTTACATCGAGATCTCGTTTCGGTTTCCCTCTTTATTAATAAAAGACTCAAATTCCAAGTCTCAAGACCAGGACTAGACCCAAGACCAAGACCGAAAAAACCCTTGGAATCGAGACCAAGAATCTCGGATGTCTCTAGTGGTAGCTATAATTTTTCACCATCTCCATAAAGAACCTTATGAGTGGGGTCTATTTATATTAATAATTAAATATTTAAATAAAATTAATTTATTTAGGAAGCCCCAATTCATCAGCTTCGTAAAAGCATCCACACCCGAATTAAATTAATCGAATTTATTTTATTTAAAATTAAATTTGATATATCATTTGTTATATTAGAAGATATAATACCAATAAAATTAAATAAATTAATTCAACAAGATAATTTTGAAATTGAAATAATAATTGAAAAATTGGAAGAATTACAAAATTTAGAAACTAATGAAAATAAAATTAAAGAAAAACATGGAGAAATATTAACATTAGCCTCATATAATTCAAACAAAATTATTAAAAATATTATTGATAAAAGTAGAAATTTAAATAAATTTACATTTCTAACAAAAAATTTGAAATTGTGGGCTAAAAGTAAATTTTAATATTATTTTTATTTGCTAGGTATCAGGGATGGAACGGGGTGAAAAAAAAGTTATCTGGCGGGTATCAAGTCGATAAAAATAACAGTTGCGGGTAACACATCCCATCACTGGTTTGTATATCCGCTGCCAAGGATCGGATCTTAACCTCATTCAGTCTCTCCTTTCCCATTTTTATTCGCAATCTGAATATCTGGATGCGAAAAAGGTCGTATAGCGGCTATAGTAATCCAAATATCCGGGGATTTACCAGTACCCACTACCTTGAATAGTTATAAATAAGTTTAACTATATTATAAGTATCTATACTAATGATGGAGATTGGGATGACTTGATCAGATTTTACTATTAATTTTTTAATAAATGTTTTTTAACCCGGGCATAAGGAACTACATATTAATACCCGTCCTTGTCTATAAAGGAAATTATTGCTTTATACATAAAACTGGTCCCAGAATTAATAATTATATTTTATTTAGAAAGATTAAACAAAAAATTTCAGATTATTATATTTATAATAATCAATTTGGTTTTCTAAATGGAGCAACATTGAATTTGCTTATTCTTAAGATTGTTCTACTTTATTTTGATTCATCCCAAATTTATTTGTTACAAAAATTCTTTGAAACATTTAGTGAATGGTTATTAATTCTTTAAGTAAAGAAAAAATTAAAATTTTTAGGGAATGGAAATTTCCAGTCAAATTAGAAGAATTAACTCAAAAATCGCAAAGTTGGAATGAAGAGTCAGAAATTAATTTTAGAAAGAACCAATATCTTTCAAAATATATTAATTATAGTAATGAAGAAAGAATTAGATTAGAAAAACATACTAATCCAATAATGGTTGTGTTAACACTTGGTTATCCAGAACAGAATTGTTCATATAATGTTAATTATTCTACGAGAAAAATAATTTTAAAAGAATTTGAGAATGGTTATTTATTTTAATAAAATATTATTTTATTAGTTTAGTAAGATTTCGCAAAATTATAGGCAACGGACAGGAAACGAGCATTTAAATCAGGCACTCCCTACTCAGTCGGCGTATCAATTAGAGAAGTGTTGTCGGTACTGTACCGAACAGAACCGAAGAACTATTAGATTTTTCGGTTTGGTTCTTGGTTCGGTTGCTGATGTCCGAAAAATTTCCAGGAACCGAAAATCCTAAATGATGATCTTCATTTTCTTTTATATAATTTAAAATAGAAACGGAGATCTCTCACAAAAATCTCGGTTATCGTATAGATATCTTTAAAAATAACGATTTTGATTCTCGTATCATCCTCCACGTTTCCCTTAAATACTCGCTGATTTTTTAAATTTTCATTAGCTGAATCTGCATCTTAAATCTCTTACTTTAAGTAAAGCGTTTATACATATTCGAAGGACTGATCGTTAGAGTCAATAAATATAAAATAATGTAGTTATAAAAACAATTTATATTTTAAATGCTAACTTTTAGGAAATGATATGGTTAAAAATATTAAAAATTATAATAAAGGAAATGAAGCAATGGTAAAAGCTTGGAATGATTGGTTAAGTGGAACTAATTTTTTGATAAAGGTAAAAAATTAAATTTAAATTATTTTAAAATAATAACTAAATTTAAGTATAAACATTTTTTGCTCATTTTATGTCTTGATGAAAATTTATTAAACAAAAAAGAAAATCTGTTTGAAGAAAGCGAAAATTATTGTCGTTTTATTGAGAGTCGAATCCGTTTAGAGTTAATCTTTACGATAGAAGAGGATCAAGAACAAATAAAATATACTCATGCAACTAGTCATGAAAAATGTGTGCCAAAAGAAATTAAAGAAAAATATGGGTAAATAGATATAAATAAGGTGGAGATAGGATTGATAATTAATGAAATTTTCCATCAACCTAGGGTATTTGGACACAGAATACTCCTGAAATAACACAGGTTATCCGAACCTCTGAATCTTTTGACCTGAAACCCGCCCAACTATTTTCTCTACATATGACATCACTGGAGAAAAAAGTCATTCTTATGTTCATTGCACGATCGGAGTAATTGGTCGTACAATGTAGGTCACTCCGAAGGAGTGAGCTGGGACTAACACAAAAGCTATTATTCCATCTTCATCCTCTTATTCTAAGCCTAATAGCTTCGGCTCTAAACCCGGAACTGGATCTGGGTTCAGTCAATTTTTTCTTGATTTCTAAATTTAATTTTTTTAAATTTTAGTGGACATTATATCCAACATTGGTGGGTTGGAATTGAAACAAATAAATTAATAAAACAAGTAGAATTTAATAAAAATAATGGAAATATTTTAAATAAGTTTGTTGAAAATATTAAATACAAAACACCCTCTGTTTTATTAAACAAAAGTAGAAAAGTGGAAGTAATTTATTTGGAAGGAGATAGTAAAGAATTAAAAGAATGTTTAAATAAATAATTTAAATATATTTATCAAATTTTTAATTTAAAATTTTAATTATTGTAGCCTCGAACGGCATCTGAGTTTCCTTGAGAGAACATGTCGGGTTTGGGAGGGAGAGTTCAGGTTGGGGTTTGTCAAACAAATCTACGGCGTCCTTTTATTTAATTTTACTATTTATTCAATAATCCTTAAATAATTAATTTAGAATTTTAAATCATAAATATTTTGTAACTAAATTTATCGAGTCGGGCCACATATCCTAGGCCCCTACATATGTGCTATTTCGGTCCTACTCGGAAGTATATAAGGATATGGACGAATTAGGATTTGAGGGGATATCATTAGATATAAAAAGTTTTTTAGCTGATATTCATTCAAATCACACAGGATTATCCCCACCTGATATTAGCAAACATGTGAACATTTTTCATTAAGCATTCACCTCCTATATTTTCATCCCTCCCACCTTCCCCAATATTTGTCCAAAAAGTTGAACAACAAATGGTTAAGTTCAGATATGTTCTTCAAATTTAATTTTTTATTCCAATAATTTCACATATCCTCAATTTTAATCTTCTACTATTCCATTTTTTCTAATAAACAATAAATTCATGTAATTTTTATATTTAATAAATGGTTTTTTAATCTAAATTATTTTTCCCCTATTAGTGAACCTCATTATGAGATATTTTTTCATCCTTAAGTTTATCTTAAAAATTATTCTTTGTTCAATAATCGTATTTTACATTGGATATCCAAATTAAGGATTAGAATGGCAAGATTATATTTTAGAGATCGGATATTGTTTATTCAAAAATCTTAGTGAATAATAATTCCTATACTAGTACAGTTATAATTCCATTTTTATACCTTTGTTATACTTCAGTTAACTCACGATTAAAAAATAAATATTTAAGTTCTGACTTTAAGAAGGCATATGTTAAAGAATATGGACGGATTAAAGATACATGTAAAAATATAAATTCTCATTTATGAAAATAAGTTAGATAGATACACTTAAAATATTATGTTTCCATATTAAAACATTTCATTTATGATACCATTTATCTAAAAATATTTGTGCACATTCTTGTCAAAGTTTATGCGTGCATTCAAATACAAAAAAGGAATGTTTTCCAAAGTCTATTTTATTAATATAAATAAAATATTAAAATAAAATCTTGATATTTTTGTTTTTTATTTAAAAAATGTTTTGGCATTAAAAACTTTTTTATATTATTTGTTTAAAAATGTTTTTTATCTTAATTAAAAAATCAAATGGCAGGAAATTCTTTAAAAATGCAAAAATAATATATTTTTACCTTTATTTTTATTTTTTAGCAAAAAAATTTTCTTTCAGAAAAAGTAGATATATTTTTATTTTAATAATTTTTATTAGCACAAGTAAACTAAGTCACTTTAGGTGTGTAATATAATTTTAGGTGAATAGAGCTTTTTATTCTCATTTATTTCATGGTACTAAAATTCGAACTACTTATCGGGAAAAAATAGGTGATTCTGCTATAATTATGAAGCAGACACTAATCGTCTAAATTTAAATATTTTGTTAAAAATTTAACTAATTATTTAATTTTTAATATTAAATTATTTGTTCTTATTATAGTAATAGTCAAATGAATCATTTATCTTTTTTAATCAAAGGAAAAGGTTTTCAAAAAATTTTTTAAAATGAATGAAACTAATACAACATTAAAATTACCTGTAAATTTATTATAATTAAAAATCGAAAATAAATTTTTTAAAGGGAATATTTATGGCTTATCCATCTTCGGGATTTCAGTTTGCTATTTTTCTTCCGGCATTTTTTCTGGGCTTAATTTCTTTATTTGGAATTTCAATGAATTCAAGTGTTTGTTATATAGTTGTGAAATATTGGTAATTTAAGAAATTATTTTATAGTTCCGATTATCGATATCCGTCCTATAATATTCGAAAAATCACATGTACATTTTAACCAAAAAATATTATTTCTTTGGTTAATATTAAATAAACTCTTAGGGGAAAATATACGGCAATGAAAAGCAAAACAAGCATTTTACTGGCTATCAACTCGTTTTGTGAAATTTTACATCAAATTGGGCATATGATCAAATTGGGCTTTATGAATTTTTGAATTCATAAAGCATTTTGTAACAGGACGATCCTACCGTGTAAAAATAAATGACTCGTTTTCAAGATCTTTTCATACATATTCAGGTGTTCCCCAGGGCAGTGTTTTGGGACCTATTTTATTCACAATCTTTATTAATGATTTCCCTGTCAACCTTCCAAAAGAAATAGGCTATAAAATATATGCAGATGATATAAAGCTTTATATTTCACATAATAATGATTCTAATATTAATTATCTTAATGAATCAATAACAATATTACAAAATTGGGTTATATCAAACTTTTTAGAAATATCAATTAAGAAATGTGTAATACTTTATATAGGAAAAGGAAACCTTAAACAGGAATATAAAATATTTAATCAAACATTAAACACATCAGATTGCGTACGAGACTTAGGTATCCTAATTGATAACAACTTAAAATTTAACAAACATATTGATAAAATAGTTAAAAATTCATACTTTATAACTTATCAAATACTAAGAATATTAAAAACTAGAGAATTTAAGACTTTAATAAATGTATATAAATCTTATATTCGTCCTCAACTTGAATATGCCACTGAAATTTGGAACCCAAACAGAATTCTTCAAATTAATAAAATAGAGCGAGTACAAAAATATTTTACAAGAAGAGCATTAAAAATCACAGGAATAACGCCACTACCTTATGAACAAAGACTTAACAAATTCAAACTAAAACAACTAAGCCATCGAAGAAAAGTAGCCGATCTTGTAATGGCGCACAAAATTATTTCAAAACAGACGCATCTAGACCCACAAAAATACTTTGATTTTGCAGTAAAAGCTAAAAGGAAAATATTTTGTTTAAGGAACAAAAAGTTTAACGGTAAAACTAGAAATAATTTTTTTAATAGAATCATAAATAACTGGAATAGCTTACCTAATGAAATTTTACAAACATATAATTCGCAAAAATTTAGAGTACTTGTTAATAACTTTATAAAATAGAGGTTTTAGTTCGCAACTCCCTTATCCTCCTAGATTGACATTTTTTTATAAATTTATTATGACATTTTCTTATAGTATTTTAAAAATTTATTTTTTATTTTACCACTATAATTGTACTTTTTTATGTACTTTGTGGTTTACTCAATAAATTAAATTAAATTAAAAATTAAATATTTTCTTTTTGATTTTTACAATAAAAGGCATAAACTTTGTACCAGCAATTGTGGCATTTAAATATCAGGCTATACCAATCTTTGGTGCTTTTGCATCTATTTTTATGTTTGGGTCATTAAGTCTGGATCGATTTCTTGCTGTCGCTTTTCCAATATTGTAATTTTTATAAATTAAATTTTGATTTATCTTAGAAATGTCATCTACATGAAACCGAAACGTAACGCCAAGATAAAAAAAGGATAAAATTAAAATTTCATCCCTTTGATCGCTGAACTTTTAATTAAAGAATTTCTAGTAAAACCAGACATCCGACCCCGAACTTATCCAAAAGTCAACCCCTATTTCGAAACCCGTCACCCCTCCTCGGCAAACCCCGATCCCCCAATACTTCCGACCCTGAAGGCTCGGGGAGATACCCTAGTTTGAATAACAGCTTTTACATATCCTATCCTGGCAAAGAACAAAGAACTAATACTGGAACTTCTCTCCATTTTAGCATAGAAATTTCCATTCAGAATATTTTTCAGTATCGTTATAATTTCTAAATATTAACAGTTACATCAACCTTAATTTTGTTCTCTATATTTCAATACATCTGATAACAATTGTTATTTTTGGAATACTTATTGTTCATTTGGAATATACTTTTATAGAACCATATCCAAATTGGCCTGTAGCTAATTTTATCGGAGAAATTATTGGCTTTAGTGCTCCAAATTCATTTGATTCGAGAATTATTTTGTTACCATTAATGTTAATTGCTATTATATTACATATTGTTGTTGGAATTTTGGTAAAAATTAAAGGAGGTGAATATCTACCCAGTATAATCGGATTGTACTTTAAATTATTACAATCAAATTTGCCAGATGAAAAGATGCGTAAATTTTTACGAACGCTTTCTTTAATAGTTTTTGTAAATATTGGTGGTTATTTTATCATTTTACTATTAGCTCTTTTGTGGCCATTTTTTGTGGTTTCTGAAGTGGATATTTGGTTTTTAAGAGTTTATCTTGGAATTATACTTAATATATCTGCAGCTTCTAATGGCCCTATTTTATTTTTTAGCAGGTAAGAATTTTTTTTTATCAAATTATCATAATGATAGAAGGCACCAAATACCACAATTCACGATTTATTTGAAATATTTGTATGTTTGTTCAGTGAATGTTGTGGTCTATACTTAGCTATAGACAGCGTCACGGGGGGGCGACTTCCCCGAAGTCGAGGACTTTGTGCACCATTCAATTTCCCCGACCTTCGTACGGGGATTGGGTATAGCCTATTTACTAGCATTAGAAAGCAACAAGAACTAATATTAGCGTTAGTGTGCAACAAGATCTATCAGTTATAATCAATTTTTTATGAATTTTACATTCGTGATACGCTATTTAGTTATGCTACTAATGCCATAGAGTATCTCTAGATTTAAAAATAAATATTTCAGTTCTGACTTTAAGAAGGCATATGCTAAGGAATTTGGAAAAATTAAAGAAACATTTAAGAAAATAAATTCTCAATCATGAAGGAAATTAAATACGAATAAATATTATTTCCCCATATTTAAATATTTTAATTATGCTTAATATTTATCTAAAATTTTTTATTTATGAAGTGTGATTGTAGAATTTGTTAAAAGTTCCATTCTATTTTTGAATACCATTAGGAAGAATTGACTTCAAAAAAATCAAAACTTCTTCAGTTAATGAACGTATTCGAAAGTTCCAAAACCAATAAATAATTGAGTGGCAACAGATGCTTAACTTTAAAATAAATTTTTATTTTTAATTAAATTAAGTCCTTGTTCGGAACAAATCTCCTACTATCCTATCACTAAAATTTTATATGAGTATTGACAGGATTATTGGTCATACCAGAAGGTATGGTCGTAACTGGTATGCATACAAATATAGTGCGATCAAAATCAATCTGTCACTTAATCTTTCATCATAACGCTCCCGCAAAGACTCGAACGGGAATGTGAGAAAATCGAAATTATGTCCAAAAATTTTTCAATACCCTTCAATTTAGAAGGGCAAGGATTGGAATTTGTTCCATATTTATTTCTTTATCATTTTGACAGCCGGTTAGGTTAGTTTATCGAAATAATATGTATATTTTATTGGCAACTCTTTCGTGTTATTCCAAGCAAACTAAGGCATAACCCCAAAGACTATAATTTGGATTCCAAATTTTAACACTTACCAAAATTAAAACGTTTCCCATAACATTAATTGTTGCCCTTTCATTAATTGATTGAACTCCATTACCATACAAAAACAAACAAAATAATGGAATTAAATGAAAACCAGAATAACGAGCTAATAAAGATAAAGACATATAAAATCCCTTAAAATTTAAAATAAAATAATCAAAATATTTTTCCAACTTGAACAAAAAAAGCTTTAGATTTAAGCATTTCATAAAGAATTTTTCTTTGATTTGATTGGATAGATTGCTGTTGTAAATGAACTCGATGTATTACACTAACGCTTATTGATGTCCTTCGAATATTTGCAGTGGTTGTGGATATTGCAGCAGATCGAGAATTTCCAGGGAATAATTTTCTAAACATAAATCTTTAAATTCGAAACTTGATACAAAAAATTTATCTCCTATCATAGAGAAAATATTGTTTTAAAGGGTTTATAATCCTAAGAAAAATATATAATAGTGAAAATATCTCATTAAAGAGATGCTAGATATTCTTTAATGAGATAAGTCGATTGAGAAAAAAGAGTAAAATTTCGGGTTAGGTTTTAAAATTCTTCAATACATGTTTCAAAATCGATGTAAGCTTGGGTTCCGGAGTCGAGTCGAAATAAGTCCAAGGTTACGGATAATTCGACAAATTTCTCTATGATGACATGAAAACATAATAAAATCGGAATTTGCGACCTTACAATTATTTGGTTAAATTATGGAAGGCTGACAACTAATTTTATTTAATCAAAAACATATGAGACAATATTTACCAGATCTCATCAAAATTAAATAATAAAATTTAAAATTAATTAAATAAATTATAACTGTATTTTTCTTTCAAAATATATAGCTCCAAACAAATTTATTCCAATACACATAATCATTAAAAATCCAAGCAATATTTTTATTAAATAAGCCCCACTAAATCCATCATTATCATCATCATAACAAACACAATAAAATGAGTAGCTAACAATATTAAAACGCAGAACACAACGAAAAATTGCTCCGAAGATTAAGAGCAAAACTAAATTTGTAATTAATGGAAAAAATTATTTTAAAAGTATCTAGGTAAAATATATCTTCTAATACTATACATCTTACATATTACCGCAAAACCTAGATAATTGCCCTTCCTCAAGTTCTCACTCATCTTCTATTGACTCACCCTCCCCTGCCACTGTTAATTACCCTGCCCGTGTTAATCTCCTCCATCGAATACCACCAAATTTTTTACAGCAATAATGACACCCCCCCCCCCACTCAAATGCCGTTACAGATTTCAAACCTAGGATAATTGGCCATCCTCAATTCATTATATAATGATTAATCGACTCGACACTATAATTACCCTAAGTCATTATTCAAAAATTTACTAATATTTATCAACTTACAAGCTAACCAAATCCAAAAACTTGTACAAATAATAGAACCCCAATTATTTAATGCATGTATTGCTATTTCATTTTGTGAATATAACAATTGATTGTGAACATGTCCAAGTGATTGTAAAAACATAAAATGGAAAGTTGCCATGTGTGCGAGAGTTTCGCATGTTAGGAAGGTTTCAACAAACCGAGAGAGGAGAAATTCATTAATTTAAATTAATTAAAGATTTAAAATAATTATATAATAATCAAGTTTTTAAAAATGTTTTAGGTTATAACTTGGATTATAATTTAAGAACTAAAGGAAGAAGAGTCTTATATATGTTATTACGACGAAAATTCTATAAAATACCGTATTTTCTCTAAAATAAGCCCCCCTCCAAAATAAGCCCCCTCTAAAATAAGCCCCCTCTAGAGGTTGATCGAAAAAAATAAGCCCCGAGGCTTATTCTAGATAAAATACTGTATCTTCAAATAATAGAACAGCCAAAGTCTGTACCTGTTTTTTCATCTAGCTCTTAAATATAAAAAATCTACTGAAAATTGGGGCAAAGTTGCCAACCTTGTTCGGGATATAATCTAAAGACTACTTACAGACAAAAACCTTAATCTGACTCTTGTCAACATTTCCTCAACTACTAACCTCTTCCAATCTCATATGGTAAAATAACAGTAGGAACAATTACAAAAATTTGTGTTAGTGAAGATACTATATCAGCTATTACTAAATGTCTTGAACAAATATAAACAAATTTTGTAGAAAAATATCGGTGCCCATGAATCAAAACACAAGCATATAATAAATTAATTATTAATGCAATTATTGAGAGTGGAATGAATAAAAGTGAAGCAAATATAGAGACTGCTGTATTTAAATATTGTTCAGGAAGCATTATTTGATAAACTTTCGCCTCTTGGTGCTTCACATTTCGTTAATGTATTTTAACACAAATTGAGACTTGTTTAAACATTGAAAGATTTTATTAAAAAATTTAGTAGTAGAAGAAAATAATTTTTTTGAAAATAAAAAAAAATTTTCAAAATAATTGTACTAATACATAGATATTTATATAAATGTCTGAGTATATTCAGTAATATAAGTAAAAAATGCTAAATTAGTGTGCAATTGTTAGTATTTTATTATTTTATTTTTACTTTTACATTTTACTGAGAAATTTTGTATGTACTGAAATTAAATTTTTAAGTATTTTATAAATAAATTTAAAAAATATTTTAAAGGTAAAGAGTGCAGAATTAAGTTAAGTTATTTATGAGAAGTTAAGTAATCCAATATAAAACAATACCAACATAGACTTTTATGAGGCTCATAAACCTTCATTGGGCACCGATAATTTTGAATAACTACAGATTACAAACTTAACTAGAGCCGAATACTGTTTTCCGTCACATGTCAAGGTTCAATCACATAGTTAAAAAAATTTTTTAGTAATTTTTGCAATAAAATTGGTAAGTTATTATACATATAATATTTATATGCATTCATTTAAATAAAAATAAATCCAAAAATAATTTAAAAATGAATCATTTAATTTTTTATAATTATTTCAGTAATAAATATGCACATATGTATGTATACATATGTATGTATACACATTTTAATTTTTCAGTAATATCAAAGTGTAAATTAAAATCATCCTTTTTAATTTATTAAAAAAATAATTTTAAAATTATTAAGATAATTTATATTTTCATTTAAATTTAATCAGAATTAATGTTTGTATTATTTATTTTAATTTTGAGTTTGACAAATATTATCAAAATTGAAGGTTAAAAAATAAATTTTAAAAATTCTTAAAATTATCAAAAGCAAAAAGCGAATTCTCTTATAGTTTTGCTGATCGGTCTGAAAATATTAAATGCCTTTTTTTCTCTTGATAACTAGTGCGCAATTTGACTAAACTCGATGGATTAGTCTGTTGTCTTTCGAAGTTTAAATATTAATAAGCAGAAATAATTAATTGTCAGCAAATAGAAATGTTTTTCTTAATTTTTTAGTGTTTTACTAAAGCTCGAGTTTACTAAAGCTATTCTCAAACGGCTATACCCAAACGGGCTTTACCGTATCAAAAGGGATAGGAATTAGGTTTAGAATATTATTTGATCTCTATGTAATCAATTTATAGTTATAACTAGTGTAAATATTTAGAATACTGCTTTTCGTTTGATATTCTAATTTTATAGTTTTTAAAATCATGCCCCATTTTTTGCCCTATTTTTGACCAATTTTGCACTAATTTTGTCATACCTTTGAGTGGCTGCGCCCTATTTTAGTGGTTTGGAATGGTCACCCTTAACATGTCTACAAATAAAGTATTATTGTCAAAAAAATTCTAGGAAGACAAAACCTAAGCAATAGTCTAATAAAAAATAATTAATAAAATTAATAAATTAATTTAATAGCAATTAAATGCTTTTACAACGATTTCAACGAAGATGATAATTTAAATGATACACTTGGTTACGACAATAAATCACAGGCTTACCGAGTAGACTGTGCCAAAATGGGAAGTAATGATTTAGGGAATTGTTTGGCTTTATTTCGCTGTAATAATGAAGAACAATGTAAAAATTATAATAATAGATTAGCACTGTCTGCTAACTCTGTCTCTACCTACTGAGCTCCTGGCTTTACCTTCTAGTAAATTAAGAACAATCTTGAGCAAATCTTAAATCCCAGCTTAAGATTTTAAATGCTAGCCAGTTTATCTCACTTTCTTATTTCTCTAAATTTGTATAATTATAAATAATTAGGCTTGCAAGGGTTCCTCTCACAAATAAGGGGTTCTTAGGTTAATTCATGAATCGAGCGATTAACCCCATGAACAAAGAACAAGCTAATATATTGCTGATTTTGTATGGTCCTATTCAAAGTTCAAATGAATAATATTATGTCTTATGTTAGAGTTGACATTTTCAAACAAATGAATTATCGAAGATGTAGTTCAGTTACTTTAACTGAAAAATCTGCTGATACACTGATACTAATTTATTTTTAGATGTACACAAATGTTTACACGAGGATGATGTTAAATACTTTTTTAATGAGACAGATAAAAATTTAAATGTTCCAAAAGTAATTAACGAATTTAATTTTTGTGAAGTTTTGAACGAAGTAGATAATTGTCATCATTGTCTAATTTGTGGGACAGAGTATTGTAACGATGGATCACTTGTAAATTTAAGTGATATAACTAGAACATCCGTCAATAAATTTTCGTATAAAATTGGGGAGGATTCGAGTGAAGATCCTGAAAGAATCGAAGTAAAAAATCCTTATGTCAAAACTAATCCTACACCTAGTACAACAAGAAAAACTGAAAAGACAACGAAAGAAATTTCTACAAATAGGCCTACTGAAGAATTTTTAAGTTCAAAATCAAATTCAGCGAAAATTGGTAAGTAAAAATATAAATACACTGCGAGAATCCTACATAATTAGGTTGTCATTTAAGTTTTGAGCCACCCCTGACTTATGCGGCTTAAATAATTATAAGAATTAAACAAAATTTTTCAGAGAGCAAATTACTTTTGATTATGATCCTATGGTATCACGACTTTTGCGCCGAGAACATTTGCGCCGCGACTTTTGCGCCGCGACTTATGCGCCGGGCGACTTTTGCGCCGCGACTTTTGCGCCGCGACTTATGCGCCTGGCGACTTGTGCGCCGCGACTTTTGCGCCGGGCGACTTATGCGCCGCGACATTTGCGCCGCCATAATTTAAAAAAATAAAATAATGAATACTATCGGACCTCACTTTAGTGTGTCCATTGAGGTTAAAAAATGAACTGAAGGAAGTTCAGTTAGTATGTACAATAGGGGTCCGGTAGCTAATGAATTAGGTCTGGACCATAAATGTGAATTAGGTCTGGGCATTGGAAATCCCCCTATCCGATATCCCAAAGGATTTCTGATGTTCTGACTTTTTTGGATCATGATATTTGGATCTGCTAACCCTATTC